ACTGATTCTTTGGAAAGATAAATAGAGACAGACTCTTAGTCCAGATAACCAAAAGAAAGAAAAAGAATATCAAATAAACAAAATCAGAGACGAAAGGGGAAAGATCATATAGGCACCAAAAAAAATCCAGACTACTATAAAGAAATACTTTAAAAACCTACACTCTATTAAATTAGAAAATAGAAAAGAAATGAATGATTCTCTGAATTCAATGGAAATATCAAAGTTAAACCATGAAGACATCAATGACTTAACAGGCCCATAACAAACTCAGGCCCCAAAGGATTCATAGCAGTATTTATTTGCTATTAACTAAATGTATATTTTCAGAATTCTTGAGGGGCTGGAGAGATGACCCATTTGGTATGTGTGCTTGTTCCACAAGCATGCTGACCTGAGATCAAATCCCACCTTTCATGTAAAAGAAAAGCAAGGTATGATCATGCACATTTATGACCCCCACTCTCTGCGGGCCACAGACACTAGTATCACAGTTGGTTGACTGGCAGACCAGCTCCAGGTTCAGGGAGTAACCCATGACAAAGAGCAATAGAGCAGAGCACCAGGAGTCCTCATCTTGTCTCCACATGGGCACTGGCACCCACCCCGCACACATGAATACACACACAAATTCATATGTTGAAATCTTAAACAAAATATGATGTTAGGAGATGGGCCTACTGAGAGGTACATAAACCTGCGGGTGGCATCCTTAAGGGAGAGGTTACTGTCCTACAAAGAATCTGGCAGATTTGTCTCTTCCTTGTATGAATAGAAAAAAATGATGCCCATCTGCTAAGTGAAGACGATACTATTACCAACACATTGGATCTGCTGTCACTTTGGTCATGGACTTCAAATTGTCCTGAATTAAGACATGTAAATTATTGTTGCCCAAGCCATTTATTCCATTGAGCTATGTGATAGCAACCTGAGTTGGCCAGGAGAGAAACTGGTACCAACTAGCAGGAGATGCCTTTTTAAAAAAATACCTAAAAAAGAAAAATAAAGACAGGGGTTTGAAGAAGTGACGTAGCAGTTAAGAGCACTGGCAGCTCTTACAGAAGACAGGGTTCAGTTTCCAGCACCCACATGGTGGCTAACAACCATCTATGACTGCAGTTTGAGGAGATCTGACACTCTTTCTGTCCTCTGCATGCATTACATGACAAGGGTTTACTTACATACATGCAGGTACAACACTCATACTCATAAAATAAAAATAAATAAGTTTTTAAAAATGTAAACAAATACCTAGAAAAGATCTAAGCAACTTTTAAATGGGGAAAATACTAGGGGTTAAAATAATTTTGAATTTCTACAAATTATAGACATTCAGAGTTACTCCAGTTAGTGATCTAAGGAAAAAAAACTGTAGAATTCTAGAAAGCAAGTTCTGTTCTGACAGACTAAGTTGTCACAAACAGAATATTGGGAGGACATCTGTGATAAAGTAATTCTGATAATGTACTAGAGGGAAATGAGGAAAGTTTTTAATTGGAGACTAAAGGAAACACATGTACGTGGTCAAGTAGAAAAGAATTTTGGCAAATAGCTTTTGGGTTCTTATGTTGTTCTTCAAGAAGACATAATTTTGAAGGGACAAATCTTTAGCTGCAATTTCTAAAAGTCATATTTAAGGATATACATCATTTCTCTATTTGCACAAAAATATGAAAGGTAATAAGTTAACTATATATAGGATTATTAAGTGAAAGAAAATCAGAATAGTAAAACTTTAAACATGTCACACAGCACTCATCAAAGAAGTTTCTTTTTGCAATAGATGGAGGCTACTGCAGAGTTGCATATCTGGTAAGGCACAGAGAACACACACCTGGGAGGTATCCAATACTAGGTGACACATCTTCAGTTGAATTTCTTACAACCAAGGTTCATGGAACATAGCAGAAGAAGGCATAGAGAGAGGGCTAATGTACCCTTCAACTCTCACCAGTGAGGCTTCCATGTACCTCAGAGTGCATTATACACAGAAGGCTACAACTGGCCAAGTTTTGGAGAATGAGAGACCATACAGTGTAGGATGGGACTCCTATATGGAACTTCACCAACCCACAGCTCAGGGGTCATTGTGGAAGAGGAGGCACATAGATTTTAAGAGCCAGGGCTGGTTCATGAGCATAAGGCGGTGGAAGGTTCTAGGCCACTGGAGGCTTACTCAGGTGAGCCTGCAGCAGTGTTGGCATCAAACCCAGGACCCCTGTCAGCTCAATTAAACAAGGGCCCAAAGGGGAGGTGAGAATATGTTGTGGGCCAGCACTAGATTGAGAAGTATTTAAGAATGATTGCTGCTGGGTGAGGGAGAGTATGACTTACATATGACCACTGGAAGGGCTGACTGGACTCCAGGGGACACATTCACATTGAAGGACATTTGTGTACAAACACCTGAATGAATAGGACTCTGCATGTATTGCAGAGTGCATAGGGTTCAGTTGAGGGGGTAGGGGAGGCATGGATGGGAGAGGGGTTGGAATTTGAGTGAGAACTGTTGTATGAAATTTTAAAAGCTCAATAAAAAAGAAGAAAAAAAATTAAATATTTCAGCCTTTGCCTGTTACAAAACGTAAAAAGTATTACCCCAAATGAGAAAGTGTGTTCAGAAGAGTACAAGAGGACTCTTGTGACAGATCCATGCTGGGACTGAAAAAGAGCAAAGAAATGAGAAAAACGCAGGAAGGTTCTCAAAGTTCTTAATCAGGACTACATCAGAGAACTATCTGCATATGTGCGCATCCTACTCCAAATAAGGAATCTGCACATATTTCAGCATCATTAGAAACTGGAGGAATGGCTGCTTTCACAAAGATATCAGTATAAGACCAATGCCCAGCAAAGACATAGGTTTGGGACTTCTTGGTATTGTTCTGTAACTATAACATGTACATAGCTGGGCTGACATTGAAAGCCACAGGTTGGATACTACCGGTCTGCACACTGTAAGAAATTATGCTCATTTTGCTGGATCCAGAAGGCCAGACCCCTGACTCAGTGGAGCAGGAAGATGGAGCCTTGAGACAGAGAAAGATCCTTCTCAAAACATCTGAGGTTAGGGCAATTTTTCCTGCTAGCTTTTGAAATTATGTGAGACCCACCATTCCTTTCTTCCCTCTTTCCCCTCTATGTCTGACATATTATTATATATACAAGTCATCTAACTTACTTAGTTTTCAACGCTCACAGTTAGAGAAGAATTTGCCAAGGATAGATCATAGCAGAAGCTTCCCTGATGTCTGGTTAGAAGAGCTGTGAAAGTTTAGACTCTAGAGTTGGCAATGGAATAATTTAAGATTGGGTGTGGAGGGGGCTTGCAGTTAGGGTGAAATGAACATATTTGAAACATGTGAAGGCAAAGAATGATCCAGATTTTAGTGTTAAGGATATGAGACTTGTGTCCCTCTCCCCACCAAATTCATGTCTTGAAATTCCCCATCTAAATGATGGTATTAAGAGTTGTGCCTTTTGGGAGATATTCATGAGTGGAGCGCCCTCATAATATGATTAGTGCTCATACAAAAGGACACATAGGGGGCTCAATTTGTCTTTCTGCCTTGTACAGATAGCAGGAGAAGATAGCATTTGCTAAACAGAAAGTTAGTTTATCAGACCCCAGGTACTGGCCTGTGAACTAGGCCTTTGTAGGCTCCAATGTTGTTGAGAAATTATTGCTGCTATTTAAGACACTAGGGTGTGGTATGTGTTCTGGACTGGCATACTTTTATTCATAGTAACTTGAGGGGTGGATTCAGATGAATATAAAGAGAAGACATAAATGCTTATGAGTTCTTTGCTGCAATTTAACTATATGCAATAATTATGCAAAGTCCACCAGTGAATATATTAGTTTCATCATCACTTTTCTCATACCATAGACTCTTTGGAGATATGTCTATATTTCTCTGTTTTTGCAAAGTGCTTTTTCTTCCAAAGTGCTATGTAAGAGTTGGAGTTGGGGCCTGGAGAGATGGCTCAGCAGCTAAGAGCAGTACTGCCGTCCAGAAGTATCAGGTTTGGTTTCTAACATCCATATTGTGCAGCTCACAATAAGTTACAACTCTAGGTCTGGGGGCTCCAATACTTCTGGCCAGCAAAGGCACCTGGACTCATGTGCACATGCCCTTACCAGTCACACACACACACACACACACACACACACACACACACACACACACACAAGATAAAAAAATAAAATAGATATTTTTTTACAAAGAGCTGGAATTGTAATCAGCATTAGAATCGTTGCTTATCACACACAAGGGGGGGCTGGTTTCAATCTTCTGAACTATAAGAAACACTTATCTTGTGTATCTTCTTAAGTATTGTTAAATTCTTATATATTTACTAATTTGCAGTCATTCATTCGCATCTCAAACACAGCAGGAGAAGATATGACGGTGAAGAAAGGGCTTTCGATTGAAATGTGAAAACAACTTCAGTTTGAAAATTAACTTGGAATAAGACAAAGATTTTAAAGACATTGCAAAGTATATTTATGTCCAATATATTCAAAATAATATGAAAGTGTGTCTTGATGTCACTAACCTTGGCAATAATTCTTTGGTGCTTTTTTGTTCAGTCATTTTTTTTTTCTTTTAGGTCTTTTTGAGACACGGTCTCCCTGTATCCCCAACTGGCCTGGCTTTGCTATGGAGACCAGGCTGGCCTCGAACTCACAGAGATCCACCTGCCTCTGCCTCCTGAGTGCTGAGTTTAAAGGCACCATGTCCTTTTTATAGATGAAATTTGCCATTTTTTAGCATGACAACATCGGTAAGCACCTTTGCACAGACTGATAGTAGCTGTTTTGAATCTCTATGACACAACTTCCATTTTTGCCCTGATGAAAATTCACTAAATTTTGTGACACAGGCTCTATTAATTAATACACATTTAGTCCCCGAGGGATTTTTGGGTGGCATTTGATTTAATTTAATTTAGTTTTATTTACCCATCACACATAAAAACAGTATTTTTCTCACCTAACAGCACTACTGCCCACATCAAGATCTTGTGCAGTGACAGCCCCGATGATGGTCCCCACTGGAGTGTCTTCATAAACCTCCATGGTGTAGAGTGGCTTGCTGAATACTGGTGGCTCATCCACATCCAACACGCTGATCTTTACTGTAGCAGTGTCTTTAAAAGGGCCCGCGGAGTGAAAACGGTGGTCAAGGTGAAGATTGGAGGCCTCTACTTTAAAGGTATAAGCCTTCTTCGTTTCAAAATCTAAAGGCTGCAGCGAGGACAAAATGAGGAGTTATATTTACATAGAACGGGACAAGAAAAGGTAAACATTGCTTCAAAGCAATCTTCCCAATTAATCATACAAGTTTCAATTTTCCTTTTCTTTTACAAATACAGGATAGAAAAGTACAAAGTCAACATTTAAGGACATTTAAAAAAAATCACCATCATGTAGATGTCACCTGTAATGTAAGTTCTGCTAATATACAGACAGAACTGGCAAAATCAACATGTGGACCTCAGGCCAGACAGAGCTTACTCACTTCTCTTAGCAGTGTTTCTATCCAATGCTGACATCTAGTGGATAACAGTAAAGATCCTAACAATGAGGAGGATGAAGCAACTGAGTTTGGACACAAATGAGTCCTAACAAACCATAGGAGGCTAGACATTATTTCTCATATTTCAACATTAATATCATTTTCTGTTAAGCACTCTTGAATGTCTAGGTATTTTGCTATAAAATACCTGCATTGAAATTTAAAAACAAACACAGAGATAATTATGGTCATATGTGTTCCCAGAACTCTATAAAAACTCAACCTGTGCTATAACTCATTGCAGGATATGTCAGTAGGATTTATGGCTTCAAATATGGATTAAAATGTTAAAGTAGAATGAACATAACGAAGGAAGTGTTTAAACATTTGCACTGATATTAAAGTTAGCTTGCCCCTAAATGTCAATATTAATATTTTAATATCAATAGCAAAAATATTATATTCTGGAAAAATTATGGGTCACTGGTGCTTTATTTCTTGGTTGGGGGTTGGCATGGGTCTTATTTTGTGCCATAGTCTGGTCCTGAACCAGCAATCCACTTACTAGGCATCCCTGGCACTGTGACAATAGGCAACGATGTAAATTAAAGCAATGACTCTGGGCCAGTGGTTCTGATCTGAGTTCTAATCATCAAAGAGGTACAAAGACCAGCATACATGTTTCATTTTCATAGTGATTTTCTGGAACCATTAAGAGCTTCTGTTTTCTAAGGCAGGCGATTCCCTACAGTGTAATTTCAATGATTAGCTAATTGCTGCATTAACATCTGTTCCTCTATCTAGTATACCTGAGGGGAAAAAATGGTTTTATTTTCATCCTTTTAAATATTATTGCATTTCATGTATTTCCTCTGAGAAAAATGAAAGATATTTTTAAACTCTATGCAATGCTTTAAAACTCTCACAATTCTTTAGAAGCTCTAATAGCAAAACAGTAATTTGCATGCAGCATCAAGTCTCTTTTGTAATAATTTTGAGGACCTGTTTGTTTTGGGGTGTTTTTTTGAGTAATTCTTTGTATTCTATATTATTTTTTTAATATATGGTTTTGTTTTACAAAATTATTTCTTTAATTTTATTGCCATTTACTCCTCTCTCGCTCTTCCTTTCTGACACAGGGTCTCCCTATAACCCAGTTGGGTCTGGAACTCTGTAGACCAGGCTGGCCTTAATCTCACAGAGATCTGCCTACCTCTTCCTCCCAAGTGCTGGGATTAAAGATGTGTGTCATTATGCCCAGTCTTCATCCCTTCACCATTGACAGAATATTTGAACCTCAGAAAAACCATAAGTTTCATTAGAGGAAGCCATAAAGGCATAAAAAAAATCAGAGTGGCCAAAAGTCTCTAAATCATAAAAGTAGAAAGTTTCCCCAGTGACCTCACAGCTATAGATTAAAGACCTGGCTCTGCACATCCCTTATCTGTTGGTCACTCCCAATCCTGAGAGGAAATGTTTGCGGAGTTCACCTGTCTCCTCTAAGGCCATAGATAACATTCCTGCCAGTTCCTGGGTAAATAATCTTGACAAGGAGACCTTTAAGCCCAGGCACTAACTTGACTCCCAACTAAGTGTAGTTGTGTCCACAACCCTGGTATAACCCCCCCCACCCAGTTTCTTTGTCTAGTTGTAGAAGCTTGGTTCCCATGGTCAGCCTCTACCTCTCACTGTATCTTCTTTGAATAAAGGAAGATACAGTCCTTGCCTGTTGCGGGTCTGGCTCTGGTTTCTTGTCTCCTACTCTTCTATCTTTCCTTTTATTTTCCCAAAATCTAACATTTGGTGGCCCACCCCAGAGGCCCCGGCCCTCTCTGGACCCTCTCCAAAGGCCTCTGGGCATCTCTGGCCTTGGTGACTGTTGAGTGTCCAACAGCCTTTCACTTGGAGCCTCTCCTTGGCTCCCTTCCTCCTAATTCTCCTCTACACCTTCTGATGCTCTTTGCTCTCTCCTTTTTCTGTATCTAGCCAGACCTCCGGGTGAGGAAGCCACCTTCTATTTGTTTCGCCCTCGCATCCACCACCTCTGGAGACAAGGTAGTCCAGGCCTGAGTCAGGGGCGCCACCAACCAGGTCACAGGGGCTCCGTGAGCCCCTGCCATTTGGGGGGCTCCGGGA